GCAACAAAACATATATGTGTACATATATACTAGTAGAATCAATGTGCATGGCGCACGTGGTATGATACATTTTTTTTGTTGTTGTTTTCTTCTTCTTCGTTTTCAACTATTTCTTTCATCTACATTTATGATATAATAAAAAACGTTTTTAAAAATGTCCATTCATTTTTATGATATGCAAGATTTCATCTAAGGTTCTCAACCAATTAATGAATTTATTTGATTGGGTTGATATATTTTATGCTTATAATATACTAAAGGAAAAAGTGCAAAAAAAAAAACCCCTAAACTATTGGAGAACTTGCAACTAACTCCTTAAATTATCAAAATTGTAAAAAATTTCCTGAACTGTACAAATTTGTTGCCGATCACTCCATCCGACTACCGGCCATAAAAAACGTGACATACAAACTAAATTTTTGAACAATAATACCCTTCCACAATCTGTAACACATGATTGAGGGAGAAGGAGAAGGAGATGGATTTAGGATGGCGGCCATCACCCATCACCCCATTCCAAATCGGTAACCACCGCCACCTTCAACCAAAACCAACATTGCTCCTCCACCCAAAACCTCCACAATCACCACTCATCCTCATCACAAAGCCAACCCCAATTGAAAAAAAAAATAAATAAATAAAGTAACCCATATGCTCTCTGCAAAACCAAACCCAAATCATCACCATTGCGACCCCAATTAGCAGACCTTCACCCCTCGCCACCAATCATCACCACCACCAATTAATTACAAAGCCAAGCCAAAAAAATAAATAAAATAAATAAATAAATAAATAAATAAATAAAACAGCAACCAATTTAAAGAATCCCCCTTGCTCGCCGGCCACAACCGAGCTCTTCACCATCTGAGCCACTGCAGCCAAGCCTATCGCCCACCGCTACACTTGCTGTCGCCCATCGCTGCGCCAGTCACGCCGCCGCGAACCGCCATCAGTTTTGTCCTCGCTACCTTCAGCCATCCTCGCTACCATCAGTTTCGAGCCCGTTGCCGGTCGCCCACCACTGTGCCAATCACGCCAGCGAGTTCACCGCTGCAGTTTTTCCACGACAAATTCAAGCCATCATCCACAGCCGATTCAATCCAGCCGAGCTTGTCGCCTTCGCCATCACAAGCAAACCCAATCGCAAATTTTAACCCCAATCACAAGCAAACCCAATTGTTTTGCAGACCTTTGAATCATCTTCTTTTGGGTTGTCGATGTTGTACGCCTCCGTGCTACCGACGACAATTTTTGCATTCCTCTTCTTGCCTTGGCCGTGGTGGCTCCAGTGACGACGATTTTTGGGCCCCTCCAGTCACACCGCCGCGAACAGTTTTCTCTCTCATCTCTTCTTTCTCTCTCTCTCTTTAGTGCTGTGGTTTGGCCCGTTTGGGTTGTGTTTGGTGAAGTGCACAAGTATTGTCACCGAAAAAAACAAAAAATGGGTAAGGCTCAGGTTAAAATGACGTCATCTTCAAAATGGTAAACTGTTCTTTCAATCTGAAAATCTTATGGTACGCATTGTAACATTCTTCCCCACCCGAACTCGCAAAGCCCTCGTTGCGGTCGGGCCACCCTGCCTACCCGGGATGGCTTACCCGGACGTCTTCCGGGCCAGGCGCTTGGCGTGTCACCGGATCAAAGATTGGGTTTAACTCTGATACCAACTGTAACAGGTGGGCGTTTGCCCATTTACCCAAAAATTCGAACTGTTGGGTAGTGCTGCATACCCACCCATTTATACCCATGTCACTTCCCATCCGGATCCGATGTGGGACAAGTCTCCCCTTGTAACACTAACTCTCTAAACGTTCTAAATAGTCACTAACATTCAATTTTGGAACAAAAAATAACCTAAATGCTGAAAAGACTAAAGTGTCCTCTATAACTGAATAAAAAAATAGGTAAAAAAACTAATTAAATGTGAAATAACTAAACTATCATTCTTTATATATATATATATATATATATATATATATATATATATATATAATATAGGGTTGCGGGCAAAAAAACACTCTTATGGTATGCATATAGAGTATATAACCCCTTATATGTTCTAAACCTCCTTAACATTTAATTTTGGTGCAAATAAGGATCTGAATGTTGAAAAGATTAAAGTATCCCTCTACAACTGAATAAAAAATAGGTAAAAAAAATTAATTAAATGTGACAAGTATGTAAATATATATATATATATATATATATATATATATATATATATATAAGGACATTATTGGAATAGACATGGGTATTTTTAAAATTTTATATCTTAAAAATGTCATGTGCAATGCGCATGATTAATAAATTTTTAACGAAACAATAATATCAAGCCCTTCTTTACTACATTTTTTCAAATTTAACGGACTTATATACTCAAAATAAAGAATTGGGGTTTTATTTACCCAAAATGTAAAAATTATTGGTGTTTTTCTCACTTTGCCTTTATAAGAGCATTATAGAAAGAGATAAGGGTGTTATATCTTAACAATTACTTCAAGCCTTTTTTGGCTCATTTTTTAAACTTAACGGACTTATATACACAACATAAGTCCTTATTTGCTCATTTTTCAAACTTAACGGAGTTATATACCAAAAATAAACGATATGTGTGTTATTTGCCCAAAATTAAAATTTTAAGGGTGTTTTTTTTATTTTGCCCTTCTATTAAATTACATTAGGATATCAACTTTGTTGGTTAGATGTGTGTCCGATGAATGTATTAATAATGGAACTAATGTCTATATAATATATATATATACGTATATATAATTGTGAGATATAAAATTTGTAGTTGGCAAATTTCGTAGTCAAAATAAGTCCGGTCGAGTTGTAAATTTAAGTTCATATTCAAGTTTGAGATCAAAAGCGGAATTAGAGAGTTGTTCGTGATCGATCAATAGCTTGATGACTTCGAAAAAAGTAAAAACAACACCTTAAGAAGTTTAGTTAGAAGGTAAGGACACTTACATGCATTGCATGTTTTTAAAAATAAGCGTTGCTGAAGTTTTTCTAATTGTAAAAGCTTTCAGTTCAGGTCTAGCCAACTTGAACCGGTTCAAGAGCAGCTGAACCGGTTCCACTTTTAATACTTCATTTTCAAAATAACACATTAGCCAACTTGAACAAGTTCAAAGGCAGTTGAACCGGTTCAAGTTCTACAGCAGTTTTTGATAACTTTGTTTCTTACTCTATTTTTACTTTCTATTCTGTATAGACTTTCTCCAAAAACCTTATTCACAAAATTAACTTATTTTACAAGTACAATTAGGGTTTCAAAATTCTATATAAAAATATTTTCTAACTTAGGGTTGTATGGCTTTTTGCATTAAAATTCTAATTTTCGTTAAGAACTTTTTTGTGAGATTTTAAAAAACATGCACATTATATATACACACAAGTGAATTTAGGGTGTTGTTCAAATCCTGATCGTGTTCAAGTCTATTGAAGATTGCATATACAACGATCAGAGAAAACATAATTTATTTCTTTTACAACAAATTCATATTTGAAGAAGAAGAATTTTGGATCACACTTTGAAAGGATCAAGGCTCTTGTAGAGTGTTGTTGATCTACCAACAGTCCTTCTACAAGGTTCGAGACATAAGTTTAAAATCGAGAGCTGTTGGACGGGATGTCGCAAAGTCAGGGACCTTCAGCAGATTGAGTCTTAGTAGAGTGAAGGGGCTCGAGTCTGAGTCAAATTAAGTTTAGTGTACTTTGCTTTATACATAGTGAATCGTTTTTACGCTTGGGATAGCACACAAAACATCTAGGTTTTCTAATTGGTTTCCTCGCTAAAATCCAATATTACTGTAAACCTTACTTGCTTTTAATTTGTGTGTGATTGTTTAAATAATCGGTAATTTTAGTAGAGTAAATTGGATACATAGACACGTGATTAATCCCCCTCTAAAATAGTTTTAAAAACTCAATTTTCCACATTCTATTTTGCTGCACAACTCACAATAATATCTATGTATATTTGTATATGTTTAATAAGATCCTAATTTGATTAATTAGACTAATTTATTTTAATAATTATAAAGTTGCGAAGTGGATTGCTTGTAATAATTATAATACTTTGATTCGATCACTACTACTGAGTGAAGTAATTGAAAGCTAAAATATAACTGCCACACGAAAAAATAGGCTCTTACCACAAAATTATAATTCTTGATTCGATCAATGCTACTGAGTGAAGAAATTGAAAGCTAGATGCTCAATAGGATCTTTGTTTTTTTGTGTTTCTACTCCATTTTAATAGAAAGCCAAAGTTAAAAATTCAAATATAACATCCACAATGCGTATACTGGATTATGGCTTGTTTTATGAAAAACAAAATTAAGTTGGAAAAACTGAATTTTACTGTGATTGATAAATATATACATTTTTTTTATTGACGAACAACTTAGATGATAGTACTGTAATGTGTTTTTGTGAATCCTAAATTTAAATTACAGTGAGATCGGTTGTGTAAGTGTATATTATATATATATAAGTGACGATCAGGTTGTGTGTACGCGGACAGATAGATTGTTGCGGAAAATCAACATCTTCTTCAAATTCAATTAGGGTTCATGTCCTCAGGGGTAAGGTATCCAACCATCTTTTAATGTTTGATGGATTTATAACGGTTTTTATGTCTGGTTCATAGTATGAGAAAAAATATTTTTATTTTTTTATTTTAGGAAAGTGGGAGAGAAAGATCAGCCTATGAAAGAGAGAAATGGACGTGGTGTAGAGGGTTTACAAGAGGCGGGCCAGAATGAACCTTGAAAGGAAAAAAAACAAAACCCTAGTACCATTCATGATGGAGACTATGAAATTTCTTTCACTGGTCATTTTGCCTATCTATAATAACCACAAAAAGTGAAAAGTTTGCATAACGCCACATTGGAAAGACAACATCAATTTTGAAAACTACACAACTCGTCAGAACTGGTGATGTAAATTAAAATTAGTGCACTGCATAACGGAAATACAAAATTATTTTTGACCTAAAAGGAAAGTACAGAACATATAGTTTGTATAAGAGTAAGTCCAAGCAGGATAATTGCAGCGATGGTGGAAGCCGTTCTCCATGGAGTACTGAAATAATCATGTTTTAATGTCGCCTTCCACTCGTGCCTTGGATCGCTGCAATACTTATCCAGTTTTTCACTCATATCATAAAAGTAGTAGTTGGGACAATACAAATTCACTTCCTTAGTTAAACTATTAAAAAGGGTTGCCACTGTAGAGCCGTCGCCTTGGTAGTTACCAAAAATTTTATTTTTGATAAGTAAATCTGCATCTTTAGCGGAATCAATAAGGTTATCCATAAAAAATATATAATCTATTATATAACTATTAAATGGATATTGAAATTGCTCTAGCGCCATGAGGTTTCTAAACAAAGGTTCAGTCCAGTTAGCTATGACCAACGGGGGGATTTCCAACACATTCTCGCTTGTTTGTGCTATGTCAGGATAGCGATAGCTCGAGCCCTTCTTAAACTTAATTCCCGACTCTTGAAGCTTTGTTGCATTGGGTATCGGCACAAAATCAATGTCACCTTGAGGAAGTGACCTTAGAGATGATGGTAGGTGACATAACCTCAACAAATCAACAAAATGCTTTACTTCAGAACTTGAAAATGACGGGTTTTTATCTCTGACAATATCAGTCATTCCGAAGTACCTGATGGAAAACATGAGGAAGGAAGAGGATTGACAAGGGCTAGGAGGGAAGGCTAGGTCGAAGAGATCATTGAGAACAAAGAAGGGAAGCTGATTTTCAAGTAAGATCATGTCGTTGCATAGATCACTCATGTAAATTTGCCTATCTAAGTAATCCGGTTCTTTATTTTTACGATGATACAACCTCCAAAAGACCTCAATGATAAAACAACCGTCTAAAAGCATCATTTCCACAAATTCATCACTGCTAATCCCAATGGTTTCTGAATAATAACTTCGAGCTCTCTTTTCCCACTCCTTTAACGTTTTTATACAACTGTTCAAACTCATGCGATAAGTACGGTTAAGGAATGACTGCAAGTATCTCGGTTTAAGCTCTTCCATGGCTTGTAAGTGTATTTTGCCGCGATGAAATGGACCCATAGAAACCACCTGAGGTGTGTAAGCCTTTTCATTCATTTCGCGCATTCTCTTGGGAATTCTAAAGATACTACAATCATTTGGCAGTGGAGGCAGGTTATTTATCCTTTTGTTAATGGAGTCTTGTATATCAATTGAAATTTGTTCCCCTCTCTCATTAACATGTCTTCTTGTGTTGTCGGTGTTCTCCATTGTCGTGTTTTCCTAATTCATGCATTAGAAGAGCAATGAAGACCCGTTAGGCTCCCTTGGTTTTTTTTTTAAAGGTAAATTTAAATTTATAGATAAGAATAATTACAGGGCCCGAAGTAGGCCAATAATAAATTAAGCTACAAGATAAAGCCCATAGGCCCTTGGTTGTGAATGGAGAAAAAGACAACTTACTTTAAAATTGTATTTTTTCTTTCTTAAGCTAGTTTGTTAAAACTTCTTATATTGTGTATGTGTGTAAATATTATCACTAATCTTACTTTTGTGTTTCTTCATGCATGGGATCCATATTCCATCCCCAAAACTTTTGTAAATGTTATTAATACCCTCTAAATATTAATTAATTTATAAATATTGTCCTTTTATTTGATTAAAAATTTCAATTCCCCCCTCCCAATTTTCAAAACACTTATATATTGATGTAAAATCTTTGGATCACCTGTTCTGTGGCTGTGTGTATACATCGAAGGTGTGGAATTTTATGTCAGAGGTGTGTTCATGGAATTTGCAAAGGGTATTTGGCTTGCAAGAAATCACAGATCAATTTAATCATTAGTTTTACAGGAAGGGTAATAAGAAAATGGCCAGAGTTTGTTTTTCAACTACTCTATATTTTGTCTGGTGGGAGAGGAATAATAGATTACATGATAAGAGTGCTAGAGAGGCTAAGGATTTGGCTAAGGAGGTGCTAGATGTCTTGGGGATTAATCTTAAAGATATTTTGTAATGCTCTTTGTTTGAATTTTTTTTCGTGTGAGTGTCCTTGTGTAGGACTTTTTGTTTAGTGAGGGTATGCCTTCACTTGAATTCTTGTACTATTTTGTTTTACTTCAATATACTCTTCATTCAGGAATTTATATATATATATATATATATATATATATATTTATATATTGATGTAAAATAAATAATTTGAAAATAAATTTATTTTCAACTTGGACTCTTTTAACTATATTTATAAAAACTCAAATATCGAGAAACAAAAGTTTAAACTCATTGTTATTGTAGTTGTTCTCACAACACATTGTTATTTTATTTACATATAAACATTTATAATATCTATAATATTAATTCAAAAAAAAAACAAAAAGGATAAAAATCACTAATGTTCCCTCATGTTTAATAAAAATGCATGAAGCATTTTTGGTCAAACTTTTTTGCAAAATGGTATTTACAAGAAAAATATATAGAATTACATAACAATCTTTATGGGCATTTTGTTTAATTTAAAATTATTTTGTCTTGTTAAACTGCATTATTTTTTTATAATCTTTCATCTAGGTATATCTTTCTCAAGTGAAATCAAAGTACTCAAAGTTTTCTTCCAAAAATTAGATTTTTGAAAAACTAAAACTATTGATGAAGAAAAATTAATTCTCTAATAATGCTTCTTTCTATACCTTTTCTCTTTTTAATTGTAACTCATCTTTTTTTCTCTATATTCCTCTTTCTAATATCAGTTTTTCGTCTACTATTAAGTTGTATTTTTTTTTTTGAAAAGTAAGATGAATATATTAAAATAAGAGGAATTACAAGGTTGACAAGTTAGCCTAGTGTCACGCCCCGCCTATGGAGGTTGTGCCACGCAGGCGACACGCAGATGCCGAGGAGGACGCTGCATGGCAACTGCATGGCAAGTGGAGTTTCTAGAGTCTTCCGGAGTAGTCTAGAGTTATGTGGAAGATTCTAGATATGTGTAGTATATTCTAGAAGTGTGTGGAAGGTTCTAGAATTCTCCAGAATTGTGTGGAGTAGTATGGAGGGTTCTAGAATGTTGTAGATATGTATGGAGATGTGTAGAAGGTGGAAGAAGATTCTAGAGAATCAATTTCCACCATTGGTTAGAATGCATCCTAGCCATCCATTAGGGATGGGGATGCCTATAAATAGAGGTAGGACTTCATTTTGTAGGGAACAAGTCCTAGAGTGAGTCTTGAGAGCCTTGTAGAGAGCTTGAGTGCTAGCCTTGTACAAAGCATTCTTTGAAGTAATAGAAGTGTTCTTTCCTTGCCAACTTAAGTGCCTTAGTGTGTGTGAGTGTGCAAGCCAGGTGAGGAGAGGGCGAGGGCAACTACAACACTAGTAAGCGCACGAGGGGAGTGTGTTGGCTAAGGTGTGCACGGGAGTTAGGCTGACCAAGTACTTGCGAGAGTGAAAGCAACGTCTTGGTGCCGCACGGGAGCAGCTAGAGTGGTACTGAAACTCTAAGCCCGTGACAGTTGGTATCAGAGCCAGGTTCGTCAAGGGAGCTTTGTTGGAGTAGACATGGCTAGCGGAGGAGACCACCAAGTCCACGTCTTGGAGCAGAGCTTGGAAGAGAAGCTTGCCACACACTTGGTCTACACGGAGACCAAGTTTAACAGGCTCGAGAGAAAGATGGCAGAACTCTACGAGCTGATTGACGGCATTGCCAACAAGGCGCGAGAGAAGGAAAGGGACTTGTATGATCAGGTAGACGACTTGCGCATGGAGATTGCCGAGTGCAAGAAGGAGTTCTCTCAGGCGCGCGAGGTCGTGGTGAAGCCAAGGAAGAAGAAGGCGCCGGAGCCCAAGGAGTACGATGGGGCAAGGAATGCGCGCCAGATTGACAACTTCTTCTGGCACATGGAGCGGTACTTCGAGTGCATGGAGATCGAGGATGATGAGGAGAAGGTGCAGACAGGCACTATGTACCTCACAGACACTGCCGCTCTATGGTGGAGGCAGCGCTTCACCGGTAGGGGCGCAAGAGCAGTTGATACATGGGAGGAGTTCAAGAGGCAGCTCAAGAGGCAGTTCTACCCTGAGTGCGTTGAGGACCTCGCCATGATCAACCTAAGGCGCCTGAAGCAGAAGGGCAGCATAAGGGAGTATGTGAAGGAGTACTCCAACTTGATGCTGGAGATCCCAGAGATGCCGGAGCGGCAACGTATGTGCTTGTTCATTGATGGGCTGCAGTCTTGGGTGGCCACGGAGCTAAGGAGGAGGGAGCCTAGAGACTTGGCATCCGCAATGGCTATAGCGGAGCGCCTCGAAGACTTTAGGCGCGATGACAAGAGGGCCACGTCTCCCAGGAGGGACCACGGCAAAGGTGGGGGAGACCGGCGCTTCAAGAAACGGGGCTCGCCCAAGTCTAGTGATGATGAGCACAGCGATGAGGAGAGACGCCCACGCCATGATAAGGGCAAGGACCATGGAGAGAGGTCCAAGGCTAGTGGCAAATGGGAGCGCCGCGATAAGGGCAAGTGGGAGCCGAAGTGCTACTTGTGCGAAGGGCCGCACATATTGCGACACTGCCCCAACAAGAAGACCATGAGCGCCCTTGTGAAAGATAAGGGCAAGGGCAAGGTGGATGATACGGGCAGCGACGAAGACAGGTGCATGGGGGCTATGCAGATGCTGAGTAGCATGGCGCATGACACCAAGAAAAAGGGTAAGGCAAAGAAGGTAGCTGGGGTGCGCTATGTGGATGCGCAGGTTGGTGGCAAAGCCGTGCAAGCGTTGGTAGACGCGGGCGCTACACACAACTTCATTACCCCAGAGGAGGCGCAACGACTTGGCTTGGAGATGCGCAAGACGGAAGGATGGATCAAGGCCGTCAACTCCGAGGAGGCACGCGTGAGTAGAGTGTGCAAAGAGGTAGAGCTATGCATGCAAGGATGGAAGGGCAAGGCTGACTTCCAAGTTGCGGAGATGGACGACCATGACATGGTGCTGGGGCTGGAGTTCATGGACAGGAACAACGCCGCGCCACTACCATGCCTTGGTGCGTTGATGATACTTGGAGGTGAAGAAGGTAAGGCCGCATGCATGGTGCCGCTCGTGGGCAGGAAGGAGAGTCCAGAGGTGGCAGTCAACACGATAGAGCTCGTGAGGACCTCGCATCTCCCGAAGGGCGCTCGTACGTTTGGGCCAAGGACATATGCGCAAGTGCTGATGACCTATGAGAGGCTGGGTCAGCTGAAGAAACCGTGACGAGGGCGTCACGGAAATGGGTGGGGGAGAATGTCACGCCCCGCCTATGGAGGTTGTGCCACGCAGGCGACACGCAGATGCCGAGGAGGACGCTGCATGGCAACTGCATGGCAAGTGGAGTTTCTAGAGTCTTCCGGAGTAGTCTAGAGTTATGTGGAAGATTCTAGATATGTGTAGTATATTCTAGAAGTGTGTGGAAGGTTCTAGAATTCTCCAGAATTGTGTGGAGTAGTATGGAGGGTTCTAGAATGTTGTAGATATGTATGGAGATGTGTAGAAGGTGGAAGAAGATTCTAGAGAATCAATTTCCACCATTGGTTAGAATGCATCCTAGCCATCCATTAGGGATGGGGATGCCTATAAATAGAGGTAGGACTTCATTTTGTAGGGAACAAGTCCTAGAGTGAGTCTTGAGAGCCTTGTAGAGAGCTTGAGTGCTAGCCTTGTACAAAGCATTCTTTGAAGTAATAGAAGTGTTCTTTCCTTGCCAACTTAAGTGCCTTAGTGTGTGTGAGTGTGCAAGCCAGGTGAGGAGAGGGCGAGGGCAACTACAACACTAGTAAGCGCACGAGGGGAGTGTGTTGGCTAAGGTGTGCACGGGAGTTAGGCTGACCAAGTACTTGCGAGAGTGAAAGCAACGTCTTGGTGCCGCACGGGAGCAGCTAGAGTGGTACTGAAACTCTAAGCCCGTGACACTAGGCTAGCCAAAAGCAAATACAAGGCCCAAGAATAGACCACAGGGCCAAGAGCAACCAAGAACCAACCCAGCCCAAAGGCAACTAAGTATATGTACAAGGCTCATTTTTGAATTTTCTCGAAGTATATGTACTGATATTTAAACAAAATTATATTACAATTGATTTATAAAATTTTCTAACTTTAATTATATAGTACAAATCTAGTCCCCCAACCTAAATTTTCTTGCTCCGCCTCTAGTTGTAGAGCTCAAGATGGAGAACATTCTAAAAAAAAAAAATTTTGTGCTTTCTTTGATGAATGTAAACATTAATTGATTTGATATGCCTTAG